TAATACAATACATAATAATTTTAAAAATAATTGATTTATAATAAGTACTTACATATACACAATACAAATACATTGGAATTATATACAATATATATATAAAATATATACAAAACATATTTTATCATATGAGATAATTAAATAAATTATGAGATAATTGAGATTATAAATTAGGGGTGCTCTGATTGATCGGCTACCGATCGCTATCGGCCGATAATGGCTTTGGGAAGTTTGATCGGCGGTCTCTATAAAGGCCGATCTCATAAACCGATCTCAAGTTGACGACGCGCCTGCTGTGAGAGGTTTATGACATGCAGCGGCACCGTCTCAATCTCTGTCCGGTGTGAGTAAAATAATTATAATGCTGAAGGTGAGGTGCAATTCATATTTCTTTTTTAAATAACTTAGAGTAATTTGAAAACTTTCTGTGAGACGTGAGTGAATCATCGCACGCTTTCTCTTTCCCTCTCAAAATGCACAAATGGCTTCAAATCAGCACATCACGTCTGCACTATAAACGAGCTGCTCTGCACAGTTAACAGGAATTGTCACTTGCACAATCGAGGCAGTGTCACTAAAGTTTATAATTTGCATTTCTTTTTAAGTCTTGCCAGTGTTTAAAGCATTCAGCACAAACGATAACCGATATTGGTTTTTTGACAGCCGATGCCGATATCTTGGAAAGCAGGATGGGCGATATAAAGCCGATATCATTTTATTTATTTTAATATTTAAGAAATTTTAAATCATTTGAAAATGGATTAAAAAATACATGTGTAAACTAAACATACTTATACTTTAAATGACAAAGTATTTTTCCAGTGGGCAAAAGCATGAAGCGCAGCATAATTTGAAATCATGAGTTTAAAGTTAGTCGATCGCGCGTCTCCAGTGAAGCTGAACTCTCCACCTGTCCGCATTCAATTCACACGGACCGACCATCACGCTGAGATCATGCAGGATACAAATGCACACTTCACAAGATCTCACAGCTGAATTTGACTAAGTTTGCAAGAATTTTGAAATTAAATGTTCATTAGTCATTCAAAGATTTGTTTAAATGATATAAATGCATATTTGCTGAATGCTGACGGAAAACGAGAAAGTATTATAATGTTTGCCTTAGGGTTGGGCCGATAGACGATGCCATAGTCCATCGCCGATGGCTGACAGACATCACAATGTTAAGCTGACATCGTGATCCCCCCCCCGGCAGCGGCAGTACTTACCACACATTTGACAGGATTAGATGTTTGTTATTGGTGCTCAGGATCTGCAAATCATTCGCCATCGTCCTATCAGACATTAATCCTTACTCTGTGTATGGGGTAAGTGAACTTTCATGTACTGTAATGCAACAGGCTACCGATAGCAAGCGGCTAACCTTTTAGTGGCTCCGTATAACGCGTTATTTGTTTCACGCTTCGGGCACACCCCTAACCCCGCCCCCCGATGTCATCCTAGTTTGCCTTTCTATTACTAATAATATGAAAGCAATTGTTATACTTTTGTGAATACATTTGAATTCCTTTTGTTTAACAGTTCTTTCTGATTATTAGACAGATTTCTCTCCGTATTAGACAGAACTGTTAATGACGACAGCGAACAAGGAGAATGTGAACACTGTGTGTGCAGGCGCTGCCGTTCTCAACGCTGTCAAAATAAAAGTCAGATTTTTACGTTTTGAATATGGATATTTTTCTTACAAAAACGCATCGATTCGCTACAGGAGGCCTTTGTTCACCCCCCGGAGCCGTGTGAGACCATTTTTTTTAATGGATGGGCGCTTTTTATTTAACTTCTTTTAGACTGATGCATAGGGATGTAACGATTAACCGTGTGGAGGAGATGATCAGTTCACGTCTGTTGATCTGAGGCGCTACAGCGATCTGTCACTTCACATTAAACAGCGCCAAAACACCATTTATTGTTTGAATACTGCAATACAATGGGCATAATTTGAAATCTGAGAATTTGTTTTAAGTACCAAAGCACAATGCTTATTGCAAATTAATTGGATGGGCGGTGTGCTTCAATGTTCCGTCCATGAACTGAAAACAGGCTAGACTAATCGATTCTTGGGATTTAAGAATCGATATCGTTTCGTAAAAATGAGAATCGATTAAAATCGAGATATCGATTTATTTATTTATTTATTTTTTTTACCCAGCCCTATCATTCTGTATTTCTATAAAAAAAAAAACTAACAATAATACCAACCATAATACTACTTATAACAATATAAAACGCACTAAGAACTGATGATCAGCTGGGTTAATGAATATTATACGCGTTGTTTGCAGTCGCATCAATAGATGAGCGCCAGCCAATGAGATTGATGAGTTCCGCCCACTACTGAAGAAACCGGAAGTGGCTTCTGCTTGTTCTTAAAGGCTGAATAAATAATAAAATGATAAAAGATAAATGATAATGACAGAATTGCTCTGTGACGCATTTAAACACACTGGACATTTAGTAGATGAATTAAAGCAGCACGTGAAGTGTGTATTAATGAGAGAGCAAGCCATTTTCCACTCACATGCTTCACGTGGCTTGTATAATCTCTCAGGAATTTTGGGACATAATTTTAATGATTATGATCACTTTCATGTTCTGTTCCAGTAAAATGACTCCGGCTATTTTGCATTCACTTATAAAAATGTCTTATTGATGTATCAGTCAAACGAGACTCTGCTCAATTAGAGATGCAGCTCTGCTGTAAATCACCAAATAATCACAATAAATAATTAACCGTTTACATTTGCATATATTCATTCTTGTGCTGGAGTCCGTGAGGATCATGCATCAGAAATCTCTCTGTTTAAATGTTCAGGCCCTTTATAGAGTTATTAATTTGAGCTTGTGGTGTGGTTTCAGGCTGATATTGTCGCAGATACTGTGCCTATAAATAACCATGCAGTCATTTTTATACCTGCAACATTCGCACGGCTCTCTCTGCTGTTTTTCTTTGGGTTTGCACATACAGCACTCTCTCAAGATGCAGTTTAAGCTAATTAGCTAATTGTCTAATTAGAATGATAATGGTGTAATCACAAGCTTTTATTTAGAATGTGGATGTGTGATCGAGACGAGTGGCTGCTAATTAAACCCATGTGTGTCGACGGGACGGAGATGGTTTGTGCAATAATAGATTCACTGACAGGTGATTATTACGTAAGATCACGTTGTGAGATCTGCTGTTTCACATTTACTGTAAACTCGTTATGTGCTTGTTACGTTCACTTCTGATACGCTCGGACTGTGTTTGCATTGGATAAAGTGTCAAAACAAGTGTCATTTATAAAGAAAAATTGTATATGCACACTTCACAAACAAAACATTTGACCAAAGAGGTTTCAAAACCCTAGCTGATTAAATGCAATTGATAAAATGATCCTGTAGCATTTAATATTATGTTTAATATTGTGCTTTTTAATGCAACTATACGTAAATTTTTTTCAGTGTGACTTAAGTGTCCAGAAACTTTTGTTAGCTGCTTTATGTGAAGTAAAAATAATTTTTCACACTGGATTTAATCCATTGCATCGAATGCATGTTGAGAAGTTCAACGTGTTTCTGTGTATTGACCAGGTGATGGAGTTTCTGCCCGGTGGGGACCTCATGGCTTTGATTAACAGATATGAAGATCAGCTAGACGAGTCTATGGCTCAGTTTTACCTGGCGGAGCTCGTTCAGGCCATTCACTCAGTCCATCAGATGGGATACGTTCACAGGTACAACAAAACACACACTGTTAGCAGAAAGCCTTTAGTTTGTCCCAGCAGCTACCATGAATTACTACTTTATGTTGCTAGTCACTGACAGGTATTAGATATCTCGTTCTGTAGAGCATTTGATTGTATACGCACCTGTGTGCATATCGTTTTTTACCATTTTCTCACAAAATTAGATTTAAGACAAATTTTAAATGAAAATGTGTCCTTTTATTATTGCTTGGATAAAATACTGCACATTTCTTTGTGAAACAGAAATATGTCAAATAACAAAACTAAATAGAAATTTTAAAACAAACCCCAAATCTAATCAAATACATAAGACAAAAAACCCTCTTCATATAAACAAAGGCTACCTGTGCTCTTTCCATTCAAAATTAGAGGCAACCACTGCATTTGAATCACAATCCAAACAAAGATGCAGCATACATGCAGCATGAGCAGTTTTTTTATCTAAATTAGATTGCATAATTTGACATTTTAAAACAGAATGCTCTTTAGTTTTGTGAAACTATACTACATAAAACATCTGCACGGAACAAACACAGCAGACGAGCTGAATGAGACGCAGGTTCACTCTCTGACAGCAGGTGGCAGTCATGGAGCAGCAGTAATAATGCAGCGTTTCCTTGGTTACCGCTGTAAACAAAGCAGGGCAGCGCTTATAAACACTGCTTTAATATGAATTGCACAGAGACGAGAGGAAAAGAAAATACCATCTAAACTTTCCTAAAGACAGTCAGTTCCCCTCAGAGATACATTCATGTAAACTCCACCCCCAAATGTATGGCGATTAGTTTAACATCTAAACCGATTTGAATCGTCACATATTTGTATCGATGTTCAACCGGCTCGCCGTGCATCGTTACATCCCTACTAAGTTCATTTTAACTTTTATGAATAAACTAGCCATTTGCTAGGCTCCAGTTTTGATATCACAGAGTAGAGAGAGATTGTTATATTTTTATTTTATTTTATTTTTTCAATTTCCTTGTAGAGACACTAAATTTGAAATGAGTTTACCTGATAAAAGTTAATACAACTTTTGTGAATAGATTAGCATACTAGACGCCAGTTTTGAGTTCATAGACTCTACAGAGAGATTGAAATGATTTTATTTTATTTTCGGTTTCCTTAAAGAGAGACTAAATTCCAAATGGCTTTACCTTATAAAAGCTAATATTAATTTTTATAAATAAATTAGCATATATTAGACTCCAGTTTTTATTTCAGACTTCACAGAAAGATTTAAATTTTATTTTATTTTATTGTATTATTTTGTTATTATTTTTTATTTTAGTTTTTCAGTTACCTGGAAGAGAGACTAAAATGTAAATGTGATCTAAATTCTAAATGTGACTAAATTTTGATTCCATAGACTCTACAGAGAGAATATAATGTAAAATAAAACATTAGAACTAAATTTGTGTTAGAAGTATGATTTTTTTTTTTTTTCTCATTTAGGATACAGTTGCTTGTAAATCCTCTCGTTCTCATTTCTTTTCTGCTTCCCTTTCTTTTGTCAGAGATATTAAACCAGAAAACGTTCTGATCGACCGGACGGGTCACATTAAACTGGCCGACTTTGGATCGGCGGCCAGATTGACTGCTAACAGAACGGTAATGAGTGTGAAAACGTCATTCTGATGACACGCTAGTTCAGGGAGGACAGATCATGTGCACCCTGAGTTTGATTTGACTAAATCTGTTTAAGTATGCTGTTCGTGCACCGTGTTTCAGAGTTTGGACACAGATGAATTGAATGGCGTGTCATTATTTGGGGTAGGTGACGAGCTCCAAACTCCCGGTGGGCACTCAATACTTCCTGGCCCCTGAGATCCTGTCCGCGCTCAACGGAGGGCCGACGTGCAGCTACGGCCCCGAGAGCGACTGGTGGTCCCTAGGCGTCATTGCTTATGAAATGATCTACATGAAATCACCCTTCGCTGACGGCACGTCCACAAAAACCATCAACAACATCAAGAACTTTCAGGTGAATCTAGCAGCTTCTGCTGATGGTGTGCAGTCTGAATTACACTTTATTTGTCTTCCAAGCTAATATCTGCTTTAATGAATAGGTTTAAACACTGATTCAATGATTTGCTTGCATCATCATTCTAGAAAGTTCCATTTTACTACACAGATCGTTTATTGAAAATATATGGTTATATAATGATTTTCCCTTTATTTTACAATGATAAACAATGTGAAAATGTGGCTTCATTATGTTTAACTTTTAATAATTTTACTATTTTACTTCTTGCATTAAACATTTATTTAATTATTTATTCGTTCATTCATTCGTTTATTTGTTCATTGTTCAGTTTCCTGGAAGAGAGACTTCGTTCTAAATTACTTAACTTTTATGAATAAACTAGCAAATGCTAGACTCACGGTTTTATTTTATTTTTTGTTTTGTTTTAAATGTATTATTTGTACATATTAATTTTCCTTTTATTCATTCAGTGATAAACAATGTGAAAACATGCCTTCATTATGTTTAACTTTTAATAATTTTAGTATTTTTTGTTGTTGCATTAAACATTTTGCATTTTATTTTGTTTTGTTTCATTCTGTTTTGTTTTTTTCAGTTTCCTGGAAGAGAGACTAAATTCTAAACGTGTTACCTGCTAAAAGTTAATTTTAACTTTTATGAATAAACTAACATTTGCCAGACTCCTGTGTTTATTTTATTTTACCTTTTTATTTTGTTTTTGTTTTTCACTTATATAATGCATATAAATATGATTACATATGTTTTTTCCTTTTATTTATTCAGTGATAAACTATGTGAAATCATGCCTTCATTACAGTATGTTTCAATTTTAATCATTTTACTATTTTATTTGTTGAATTAAACATTTTGAATATGCTTGAAATCAATGGCTGTTTGGTTGAAATTATGGTTAAATATAAATCTCCATTTTTGTTCAGTGTTAATATATAAATATCAATAAATATGCTGAATATTGTTGAAAAGGTTAGCAATATATATACATTTTTAGCTTTATCAAGTCATTTATTTCTACAGCGCTTTATATAGCACAGATTGTTTCAAAGCAGCTTCACCTTAATAAACAGGAAAATAACTGTTAATGTTGTAAAATTTATCAGTTATGAATCAAATTCAATTTCATTTATAAAAGCAGAAGACAATAGAGTCATTCAGCTCAATTCAGTTCAATGTTAAGTTAATTTCAGCTCAATAACAGTGTCAGTGTTGCAAAGTTATTATCCAGCTCAATTTAATTCAAATTTAGTTCTTATCCGATAGTCTCAGTGCAGTCAAATTGATAACATTACTGAATATTAATTATTTTAAAGTTATATCACCCAACTCTGCATACATAAATGTAATGTTTTCTTGCTTGTGTTTTGCTCACAGCGTTTTCTGAAGTTCCCAGAGGAACCCAAAGTCAGCGCTCAGTTTGTTGACCTGCTCCAGAGTTTGTTATGTGGATCGCGGGAGCGTTTGGGATACGAGGGCCTGCGCTCGCATCCGTTCTTCTCCTCCATCAACTGGACCAACCTGAGACACGGTAAGGCATTCGGTGCATGCAGTTAAAAGTTAATCCATTCTTAAACACACAATGAATCCGCGCTGCCATCAGAGGCCTCGTCAGTGTTTCTGCAACAGAATTTTTCCATGTACCTGTTAATTACGGGTTATTAATCATTAGCCTGACTTGCTGCAGCTATTTTTGCCTCCTTGATTACTTCTCTGGTGTAATTGCTGGATTTGTTATAGTGGGCTGAGACGTGTTTGCATGCACAGATTGCTCTGCAGGTTTAAGTGAAACACAGAGGATCTGGATTAATTCATTAAGCCTGTTGTGTGAAGCTCAGTGTTTCTTCTTTATCTGCTTTAAGACTTTAGGATTGTTAGCATCGGGTGGGCAGCATGAGCATTGTCTTAAATCTCTGTGTTAGTACTTCTATATCACAGTAAACATATTGCAATAGTGATATTTGTGCATATATATATCTTGCACTGGAAAATCAGTTGATATCATATGACAGCATTCGGAGTTGCACTCTGATAACAAACTATCTTTATGGGAAAATGGAAAGCCACCATGTGTTTAATAATGCATTAACTTGCGCGCACACACACACTCTTGTGTTCCTCGGGAGGGCAGCGGGTGGAATTAGTCAGATTATGGATTGTGCAGGTGTTCGCAAGCGCTCAAATAGTCACACAGCCAAACCCTAATGAGATAAAACACACCACACACACACACACAATGAAACGCATCCATCTCTTGCTCATAATGCAGATTTTCCTACAGGATTTTGTTCCTGCAGGATCCCATCCTTTAACTGCTGTCGTTTGAACAACTTGACAGTAAATAGTTTGATTTAAAATAGTGTAATACAATCCAACTTTATTTATAAAACACATAATAAAACAACAAAGTTGACCATAGTGCTGTACAATGAAATCAAGTAATAATAATAATTAATAACCATGAAAAAACATCAATACACACCATTCAAGACTAACCCAGATGGGTCACTACAGCGACAATACCTCAACACTCATACCTTATCAAAAGCTAATGTAAAAAAAAAAAAAAAATTTTTAACTGCTTCTTAAATTCATTCAGAGATGATAATTGTCTCAGATACACTGGTAAGCTGTTCCATAGCCTTCGGGCAGCTACTGCAAATACACAGTCACCTCTGGACTTTAATTAAAAAAAAAAGTGAGGTAGGTTAGTTAAGTTATGTGAGTTGGTGAGTTGAGCGAGTGATTTCGGTGAGTTCAGTTGTGTGAGTTGAGTGAGTGATTTCGGTGAGTTGAGTTGAGTCAAGTCAAGTCACGTCACCTTTATTTATATAGCGCTTTTAACAATACAGATTGTGTCAAAGCAACTGTACAGCATTAGTTAGGAAAATATTGTCAATAATGCAAAATGATAATAGTAAACGCTCAATTTTCAGTTAAAGGCAGTTCATCATTAAATTCAGTGATGTCATCATCCAGCTCAGTTCAGTTTAAAGTGTCTGTGCAATCAAGTCGACGAGTGAGGTAGGTTAGTTAAGGGATGTGAGTTGGTGAGTGAGTTAGGTGAGTTGAGCGAGTGATGAGTTCAGTGGTGTGAGTTGAGTGAATGATTTCGGTGAGTTGAGTGAGGTAGGTAAGTTAAGTGATGTGAGTTGGTGAGTGAGTTTGGTGAGTTGAGCGAGTGATTTCGGTGAGTTCATTTCTGTGAGTGATTTCGGTGAGTTCAGTGGTGTGAGTTGAGTGAGTGATTTCGTTGAGTTGAGTGAGGTAGGTTAGTTAAGTGATGTGAGTTGGTGAGGGAGTTTGGTGAGTTGAGCGAGTGATTTCGGTGAGTTGAGTGAGGTAGGTTAGTTCAGTGGTGTGAGTTCAGTGAGTGATTTCGTTGAGTTGAGTGAGGTAGGTTAGTTCAGTGATGTGAGTTGGTGAGTGAGTTTGGTGAGTTGAGCCAGTGATTTCGGTGAGTTCATTTGTGTGAGTTGAGTGAGTGATTTCGGTGAGTTCAGTGGTGTGAGTCGAGTGAGTGATTTCGGTGAGTTGAGTGAGGGTAGGTTAGTTTAGTGGTGTGAGTTGATGAGTGAGTTTGGTGAGTTGAGCGAGTGATTTCGGTGAGTTTGGTGAGTTGAGCACGTGATTTCGGTGAGTTGAATGAGGTAGGTTAGTTCAGTGATGTGAGTGAGTTTGGTGAGTTGAGTGAGTGATTTCGGTGAGTTGAGTGAGGTAGGTTGGTTCAGTGATGCGAGTTGGTGAGTGATTTTGGTGAGTTGAGTGAGTGATTTCGGTGAGTTCAGTGGTGTAAGTGAGTTTGGTGAGTTGGGTGAGTTCAGTGGTGTGAGTTGAGTGAGTGATTTCGGTGAGTTCAGTGGTGTGAGTTGAGTGAGTGATTTCGGTGAGTTCAGTGGTGTGAGTTGAGTGAGTGATTTCGGTGAGTTCAGTGGTGTGAGTTGAGTGAGTGATTTCGGTGAGTTCAGTGGTGTGAGTTGAGTGAGTGATTTCGGTGAGTTCAGTGGTGTGAGTTGAGTGAGTGATTTCGGTGAGTTCAGTGGTGTGAGTTGAGTGAGTGATTTCAGTGAGTTGAGTGAGGTAGGTTAGTTCAGTGATGTGAGTTGGTGAGTGAGTTTGGTGAGTTGAGCCAGTGATTTCGGTGAGTTCATTTGTGTGAGTTGAGTGAGTGATTTCGGTGAGTTCAGTGGTGTGAGTTGAGTGAGTGATTTCGGTGAGTTCAGTGGTGTGAGTTGAGTGAGTGATTTCGGTGAGTTCAGTGGTGTAAGTGATTTCGGTGAGTTGAATGAGGTAGGTTAGTTCAGTGATGTGAGTGAGTTTGGTGAGTTGAGTGAGTGATTTTGGTGAGTTGAGTGAGTGATTTCGGTGAGTTCAGTGGTGTAAGTGATTTCGGTGAGTTGAATGAGGTAGGTTAGTTCAGTGATGTGAGTGAGTTTGGTGAGTTGAGTGAGTGATTTTGGTGAGTTGAGTGAGTGATTTCGGTGAGTTCAGTGGTGTGAGTTGAGTGAGTGATTTCGGTGAGTTCAGTGGTGTAAGTGATTTCGGTGAGTTGAATGAGGTAGGTTAGTTCAGTGATGCGAGTTGGTGAGTGAGTTTGAGTTGATTGAGTGATTTCGGTGAGTTGAGTTGAGTGAGGTAGGTTAGTTTAGTGGTCTGAGTTGGTGAGTTGAGCGAGTGATTTCAGTGAGTTTGTGGTGTGACTTGAGTGAGTGATTTCGGTGAGTTCAGTGGTGTGAGTTGAGTGAGTGATTTCGGTGAGTTCAGTGGTGTGAGTTGAGTGAGTGATTTCAGTGAGTTGAGTGAGGTAGGTTAGTTTAGTGGTGTGAGTTTGGTGAGTTGAGTGAGTGATTTCAGTGAGTTGAGTTGAGTGAGGTAGGTTAGTTTAGTGGTCCGAGTTGGTGAGTTGAGCGAGTGATTTCAGTGGTGTGAGTTGAGTGAGTGATTTTAGTGAGTTGAGTGAGGTAGGTTAGTTTCGTGGTGTGAGATGGTGAGTGAGTTTGGTGAGTTGAGCGAGTGATTTTGGTGAGAAATAACCCCCACAAAGCAGGAGACATAGAAGGAACAATACAAGCCAAAACAAGAACAAAACACCCTCCAACAAGCAGATCTATCGCCAAGACTTACCACGCCGGCTGGCTTAACAATAGTGGGCTATGACTATGTGAGCCTGGGCTACCACGCCGACTGGCTTAACACTAGTGGCCTATGGCTATGTGAGCCTTGGTTACCACGCCGGCTGGCTTAACAATAGTGGGCTATGACTATGTGAGCCTGGGCTACCACGCCGACTGGCTTAACACTAGTGGCCTATGGCTATGTGAGCCTTGGTTACCACGCCGGCTGGCTTAACAATAGTGGGCTATGACTATGTGAGCCTGGGCTACCACGCCGACTGGCTTAACACTAGTGGCCTATGGCTATGTGAGCCTTGGTTACCACGCCGGCTGGCTTAACAATAGTGGGCTATGACTATGTGAGCCTTGGCTACCACGCCAACTGGCTTAACTCTAATTAGACGCGCACCATGTGTAATGTTTAATTAACAAATGGATATACGTTGACCTGAATGAACTGAATGATGTTCTTTCTCCATTTCTGAATTACACAGCACAGCGAGAGCACATGTCACACGAGCACATTTCTCCGAACTACACTACCCATAATGCATTTCACTCGGAACTTGCGCACTCACTGATGGCGGAACAAGTGCTGATGATATGAAAACATACCTGAGCTGGAGTTTAGCGATCTCTCCACAGCGATATTGTGCTTAAGTTACATGGAAGTGTCATACAGCCAATGTGTGTTTTTCTCACAAGCCAGAATGCATTGCTTTGTCAGGCGGCAGCCGATCTTTGTGGCGCCGCATTAAGTTAAACAAGCCTATTGATATGACTGCGATAAGCACGGGCTTCTGAAGCGGCGTGCAGCTGAAATCAACCACACACTCATCACAATGAAAACATCGACCTTAGAAATAACGAACGTGGACACTGGGAAAATCGCCGATGTATATGGCGAACCCCCGTTGAAATGCATACACAAGAATGCTTATTTCATTTAACCCGTTTCATGTCCGTTATTATCGGCGTGTCATCAGAGCGATTACATATGCTCTAAACTGCGTTTGCTCCAGCTGTATTAACACAGATGCTAAATGCTGCTGCTAATATGCTTAATATTCGCTCCTGCATACAATACAAACTGCTAACATGACACTTAGTTAAACTTGATTATGGTTGCTCATTTTTGAATTCAATTAGGCAGACCACGCAATACACACAGCGATATGGATTAAAAGAGCATTCACTTACCTTAGATGTTGAAATCGCTGTTCTGAAGCAAGCTGCACTGCTACGGCAAGCACTAGTCAT